TACGTTTGGAGAAGAAAATTCTTCAAATAAAAGATACTTATAATATTATTATCTATAATTTTTGTTTCATACAAAATTTTCCTAAAATGGTCTGTATTCGAGAAATTTGACAAAATGTAAAAAAATTATTTTTGTATAAAAATTGTTTTAATAAAAGTTGTTTGTAATATAATTCTCTATAATTTTTATTCTTTACATAATTTCTCTAAAATGGACGGTATTCGAGATATTTGAGAAATTGTGTAAATTTAGAATTTTGAAGAAAACTTAAAAACGGATAAAGGAAAAAACAGTAAATTTTAAACTTAAGTTTTATTTCGGCCTGAGGTGAAATGATCAGATTTTGGACGAAGGCGAAACATTTGGGGCGGTACTTTATGGGAGGCCGTTTTTATATTTTATGAAATATATCTGTTATTTATGTTTAGAGAAGAAAATTGTTTAAATAAAAATTATTTACAATATTATTATCTATAATTTTGGTTTTATATAATTTTTTTTAAATGGTCCGTATTCGAGAAATTTGACAAAATGTAATAAAATTTAAATTTTTAGGAAAATTGTTTAAATAAAAGTTATTTGTGATATCGATCTCTATAATTTTTGTTTTTATATGATTTTTATAAAATGGACCGTATTGGAAAAATTGAAGGAAAACTGCTAAATTTAAATTTTTCAGTATTTTCGTTTTTAATAAATATCTATAGAAAAATGTTTCGAGTTAGATGTATGTGGAAAATGTATATATTTAGTTTATCCTCTAAACATTTTTAGAGGTGCTGCAATAGGTTGTACAAAATAACCGGAAAAAGCCTATAATAACTAGATAGGAAAGTCATGTGTTGGACACATCAGATTTTTAATTGTGGAACCGTCCTCGTATAGTACATAGTCCATCTGGAAAAGGGAAATCTCACATTTGCTATGCTCGTCTCTCTCTGGAATGAGGACGGTGTATGACTTTCCTATGCGATGTCGACGAACTAGAGAGCCTAAGATCATATCGAAAATGTGGTGTCTATTAATTTCATTCAATTTTTAAGTTTTATCCCAAAACACTAGATAACATATTATATTTTAAAGGGTGGTTCAAAAATGTGCACACGTATAGTTTTATTAATAAGTAGGCTCAATGAAAGATAACGTAAAATTGCTATAATAATAATAATACTCTCCCTAATTCACCCCCTTACGAGTGAATTTTAACCCCAAAAGCTGAGCTTGTCCGGGGAAAGGGACGGCTATTATTATTATTTGCCGTGGCGCTCCGGGGCGACTTAAAGATGATTGATGGTGCCATTTGACTTACAGGTGAGGAAAACCCGGAAAACCTCACCCACCATCATCGAGACGGTAATGTATGGCGAATTTTTTTAATCTGCATGTCATATCAACAGAAATTGAATTTCTATTAATACGCCACACATCAAATCCTAAACCGAACCATGCAATTTAATTAAAAATCCACATGGTCCGGTCTGGGATTCGAAACCCAGCCGTCTCAGACTCATAACGTATGGTACAGAAATTTTAAGAAAAAATTATCTGGTTTGATTGAGTGACAAAATGCATTTAATCAAGCAGGTCATGTCATCTAAATAAGCAAGTAAATTTATTTTCGTCTGGTTGGGCAAATGTCGAAACGAGAGATTGTCGTAATTTATCAAGATCAAAACACAAGTAAATCGACAATTTATCGTACAATCAAAGACTGTGAAAAAGGGATAACACGTATAAACTTGCCAAAAAACGGTCAGCCGCGGGTTTTAAACCAATTATGAGAGGGGAAACTTATTCAACTAGTTAAACACAGTATTGGAATCTCACAGCGAAAACCGGCCAGGAAATTTCATATTGGAAAGACTACGGAGTTTAGGACCCTATCAAGAAACAATGTTGTCTTTCGGAAAAGGAGAAAATCATAAAAATACACAGAGGCTCAGTTAGAAAGAATTCCGAGATGTTGCCGCGTGTTAAGGCGGGTGTCAACAAGTTGATGTGATGGACGATGAAAAATATTTCACTCTGAGATGAAGGGTGTGTATGGTTTGTCATTTCTGAGGCTGGTTTCATTTCACAGCCCTACATTGGTGTTGTTCGTGGCAAGGCCTTGAATGCAGAGCGAAATATTGAGAGAGGGCTTTCTAAACTGCTAAATACAAATCATGCGTATGACGAAATTATGTTTTGGCCAGATCTTGCTTTATTATGCGAGAATCACAAGGTATTGGTATGGAGCCAACTTCAACTTTGTACCAAAAGTGGAAAATCCCCACAACTTAGCCCCAGGCCCGCAATATTGACCCGGAAAGCCTACAATAACAGATTGGAAGCACAAAATCAAGAACAACTCCGACCTCGTATATCGGAAAAAATCAGGGAAATCAACGCTGGGGTTGTCCAAAGAATGATGCAACGCGTCAGGGGAAAACTTATGCAGATCGAAGATAATGGTCCCTTATCGATTATTCGAACTTTAGGTGGTAATAAAAATAGTTAAGAGATATTGTATGAATATTTGTTAAGATTATATAGATATTTTTATTGAAGTTGTTAGCACCTGATTGTATTCCCAAAACTTTTAGACCATACGCTATAAAGGAATATCATGTTGCTTTCTAGTCTATATTAAGATACAGATCGAATTATATGGCTTCACTATTTAGGGAACTCCTCCTAAGTACAACCCTCATAAATACCAACTACAGGAAACTACACAGTGTCATGAGGAAAACAGGATTTTCGTTTGGGAAATCCGGCTTTGTTGAGAAAATATGCGTACATAACTTAGGTGGAAATGTGTACCTAATAATAGAGAGAGCAGAAAGTGATAACAATGCAATTGAAACTTTATAGGTACATTTCTGCGAATATCCCGGCATTAGATTATTTGAGAAGTTGTTTAACAAATGGATGTCTGGCACTCAACTTATTACCTCGTCATAATATGAAAGTAACAATCTTAATAAAGTTTGAATGTTAAATTATAAAACACAGATATCTTTAATATAAAATTTGTTTTAGTAGGTGTTTTAAAAATTGGTTCATTATTCAAATGGTAAAAATAAAAACCTATTTGATTTAAGAGCAAACCTAAACTCTAACGAAAAGTAAAAATTTGTAAATTTTCTTATATAAACATGTATTTATAAGCGCGTCACTGAGAATACTTTGCGAGGTTATAGGTCTCGAGAATATTGAGAGCTTTAAATTTGTGCAAGATAAGGCAGCACTCTATTTAAAAAAAGGGTGGGAAACTCTGTCGTTTAAAAACTAGATATTTATTTAAAGAAAAAGCCTCAATTTTTAGTAGATTTAATACAGAATGGCGTATAATTGTTTCCTTTTAAAAATTAACAAAATAAATACTTTTCAAAGGTTTACAAAAAAAATAAGGTCTCTCCGCCCTGTTTTGATATTATTAGTATTTCCTGAAACTTTCACAAAAAAAGACTGAAAATTAAGACTCAGAAAGAATTTGAAATTTTAAAGATGTTCGGTTTGCTATTAAAAAGAAACAAATTAAAAAATCAACATATCATATAAATATATATCCTCTCGTGGTATCCAACATTTTTCAGATGGCATATTAGACTGCTGTATAAATAAAGGTGATATATTTTTCCGAAAACATTTCAAGTGTAAGGTGAAAGGTAGTACGAGTATATACTGCTACATTAGGCACTACACAGAGCCAAAAAAATGTAATAAAATTAATTTAACTGTTCTTTTTAGTTAACTCATTAAAACTGCTAGTTGTGCAGGGAAGTTTCCTAGTATAGTCAGCCTCTCAGGTTAAAGCTAGTTTAAGCACTATAGGTTTGGTTCCATCTTTAACAGCTACCCTGTATATGAACATTATAATACTTACTTACTTAATAATTTACTACTCAATAGTTTTATTTATTTATTTAGTTATTTTTTTTGTATCACCCACCCCTTCTTGAGATTTTGTTAGAAGAATTAAGAATTCTGACGGCTTCACATCACCAATAATGTTTCCGCTTTCCATGTTGTTCTTTCTAAATGTTGATTCCAATTAAGCCAACATTTGGAAAGAACAACAATCTTTATGTACTAGTATTGTTTTATTTAGGAAGTAGTATAATTCTGAATAATTTATTTTCGCTCTTTATAAATTCCGCATCTATTCTTCCCTTTTATGTTAATTCGTAAATATTCTTACCCAAGCGCCGCCTAATATTTCGACAATAAGATTACAATTCGGCAACTATATCTCCTTGTAATACTCAGAGAAATAAATCAATAAAGTTATTGAATCCCATTCCAGCGTTTTCACTTCGAAGTAGAGCGACTCTTTAAACGAACTCATTAAATTACACTTTCTATGAAATATACGGTAACATAATTCAATGAAAATGTATTTTCCGCAAAGTTCGGCGATGGCGAAATTTACATGAAAGTTCGATGCGCCAGAAATCATGAGTCGGGCCTCGCCAGTACCTACTCCTTCCTACGTCTCGAAATTTGTGGTCCCATAATTCGGATTTATGCTTCATAAGTTTCATGATGTTCGAGGTGATACGATTGGCCTTTCCCATTTAATCTTCATAATACGTCAAGACTATTTAGGTAAGAGGAATGCGTGAAATATTTGAAAGAGCACTGGATTAAATGGAGGAATCATTTTTAACGACTGATTGGAAAAAATGAATTCAGGGCTGACTAAAGTGAAAAAACAGTTTTACAATTCCTCTTGGCATTATTAAATTAGTTTATTGGAAATTTTACACCCATTTTTTTTTACTTCTAAAATGCGTTTTCTCTACCATCGCCATGGCAACTTAGGCATATTTTCGGAAAGGTTTTTTCTGTTTCGATACTAAAGAAAAATAGTTTAATTTCCATGGAAATTTCACTATTAGATTACTTTTAAATGTAAAATTAGGACTTACATTTCTGACGCTACTTTTATTTATTTATTGTTTTTCTTCGTTTCGAGGGTTGTTCAAATTGTTCATCACTAATTATTAAGTTTATGTTTGCAACTAATTTCTTGTCTTTCTTATGCTGCTGCATTTGTGCTTCAGCCTCAACATATTTTAAAATCTGACTCTCAGGTTGTATTTTTGAACTACATGCACAATTATCTAATGAAATTGGTACAGAATGTCCAACCAGCAGTTTACGTGTTGAGGAAACCTTACTAAAAGAGTCAGGCAAAAATGGTCTGCGAATTTTAATATTGGAAGGAAAATAAAAAAATGTTTAATATTTGAAAATCCAACTTTCTGAATTTTAGAATAATTTAAACAATTAGGAGCTTAACAAAAATACTCTCAAGAATACTTAACTATACCCGGGCAAGGCATTTTTTGTTTCAAATATTAAAAAAGAATGAAAATCGATGAAATATAAAATTATATAAGGCTAAGAAAACAATGATATGTTGGGCGTGTCGGACCTCTCTCTTGCCTCGTATAGTAATCAAAGTATGTGGGGCGCGGCCATTTTGAACCTGTGACACAGTTTACAGCTAAAGAATCAGATCGCTCACTCTGCGTCGGCACTTTGGATCTCAATGTTTCAGTTTATACACTGTGCAACTCGGATAATACAATATATGACAACCGCCTATAATAAAACAGCAGTCTTCTGCGTATCCTGAATTTGTATCCCTGGAGTGGATGTTATTTTGGAACTTTCAACTGGTCCGAGTGAGCCAACTGATTCTTTAGCAATAAACTGTGACTTCAAAAATAATATTCACTGACACTGACAGCAGCAAGCAAAATATCAGGTGCGTTTTAATCATCCGCTCCTGCTTCCGGAATTGTCGGTTTAGTCGTTTTAACCTGTCAGATTAAAACAAGAAAACTGACAATTCCGAAGCAGAAGCGGATGATTAAAAATTAAAAAGCTCTATAAGGAGAGGAGGTCTTTTGATTGTGAAAAAAAATTGAATAAAAGTAGGGGGGTTAAGGGAGGTTGAAATATTTAAAATAAATCTAACTCAAAAACAAACAATAATATAAACTTGAAATTTTTGGAAAAATCAAGCTCTACAAGGGGATGAAGCCTATTGATTCTGAAAATAATCTGATTGAAAATGGGGGTTAAGGGGGTTTGTTAAACTGTGAAAATTATAATTTAGAATGCCACGCATTATATATTTTCATTCTAGTTTGTATCTGTGTATTATCAAAGTTTATTACCATTGAGTAGCGACATAAAGCGTCGGTCCCTTTGATCTTGGGTGGTGCAAATTTTCTTTCTCTCTCTTTTGACGTTATTGACGGAAGGACACACTAAAATACTGCTCGAATTATAAACTGGTCTTGAATGTGATGTTTACACTGCTCGACGTAATTAGAAGTAAAACTCTTTTGTAGTTTACATTTATAATAAAGGTTTGGTCATAAGGCAGTTTTATATTTATGAGTATTTAACTTATGTAGTAAATATAAAAATATTGATAAATTTCAATTTTTTTACCTACGTCCGGATGAGCTAGAGACTTGAAAGTTGGTAGGTGCGCAGGTTTTGATTTTTGATAACAATAGAAATTATTACTTATGGACCTTCTTATTTATTAATCGAGTTGTCTCAAACTTTAAATTTCGCGTTGTTTAAACATGTCGATAAGCACATGCATTTCCTGGCATAATAAAAAACTCACAAAATCCCAAAAGATCTTAAAAAACACAATAAAAGAGCACTAATAAGTCCACAATAACGAATTCCTATATCAGCTGCCGCTAAACAATATATAAAAGGTCTATGTCTGCCGCACTAAAGTGAAGGGGTTGTTTACATCTTTCGCCTCTCTATTTCGCGTCGGCGCACTAGAATTCGGTTCCACAGCTGTCGCTACTCAATGGTTAATATACTTTGGTAATATTATGTATTGTGATGAGACTGATCTTATAAAATACTTATTTTAGTTTATTTTTTTTACCAATAAAGGGTACCTATTTAAAAAAATATATTATTTTATTTAACATGTGTGACAAATTATGAAAATGATTAAATTTATAATAAAAACCGAAAAACGGTAGGTAGTTTCATATAATATTTTTTACACAAAAATCAATGTCAAGCTTTCTACATTTAAAAAAAATCTCAAAATATGAAGAAAAGTCAGTTGACTAACTAATAATGTTTATAATGGTTTTCAAGGTATTAAAAACAAAACAAATATTACAATAACTAAAAGATTAATTTATTCATTCATTAATAGTTGTAGTGCTTAAAAACAGTATGATATTGATAATAATAACTACACTCGTACAAAGTTTTGAACCGAACTTACAAATGATAAAATTATTAAAAAAAGTGAACACCCATTTTAAATTACCATGAGCCGCCACTGTAATAATATATATCTTAATAATTAACTATTAATTTGTTAATAACTAACAAATAATACCTTAAAAATATAAAATGTGTTTACGGCGTAATACCTTCTATCTCATGAGGGATTGTACAGATTCAAATCTAATTATTTACGAAATCCATATACTTTCCATTCTCTTGTGG